TGTCCATGTGAGTGGTGTGCATGTGTGTGCATGTATGTGCATGCGTGTGTGTGAAGGTGTGTGTGGTGTGTCCATGTGAGAGTGTGGTGTGCATGTGTGCCCACGTGTGTGTGCATGTGCGTGTGAAGGTGTGTGTGGCGTGTCCATGTGAGTGTGTGGTGTGTATGTGTGCACATGAATGTGTGTGTGTGTGTGAAGGTGTGTATGGTCTCAGACCTGAGGTTTGGGGCCAGCCGTGCCTTGCTCAGTGAATGGCCCGGGCTGGTCCCTTAGCCTCTCTGGGCCTCACTTCCTCTCCTCACAGACATTGTGCTCCACACCGGTAGCAGTTCTGGGGAGACAGGCCCCGCTTTCGGATAGAGCCCCAGGGGTCCCAGGCTTGGCTGCGCACCCACTCTGTGCCAAGGAAGGCAGGCCCAGTGTCTTCTCAGGCTTTTCCACACACCCCATGGTGCTATGGGGTGGGGGTGGGGAGCTGAGCTTCATCAGGAGGGAACTGAGGCCCAGAGAGAGTGAGCGGCTGCCCATGTCACACGGGGCTGGTGTCGTACTCTGGGGGCTGACCCCTTCCCCACTGCCCCAGCCACTCCCAGGGCTGGGCCCTGGCCCGAGTCCACATCCCAGGCCCTCCGGGTTACACAAAAGGCCAAGCCTCCCGCAGGAGGGGCGGGAAGGCCCCTGCGCCAGCTGGGCCATGGACTTGGGCGGGGAAGTGAGGGGGACAGGAAGGAAGCCTGCGCGTCTGGAGTCTGGGCACCATTGTCTCACCTGGGAGTGGGGCGCCATGTCCCCCCTCTGCCTGCCCAGACCCCTTCTGGCTCTCTGCGGGAGGCCAGGAACCGCCTCTCTGCCCCAGCCTGCCATGACACGGTATAGTCCTCGGGCCACCTCTCGCCAGCACCCAGCCTCGGTTTCCCCATCTGTGCAACCTCGAGGGCGAGGCTTTTGGGCAGCTGGGCACTGCCCAGGACTCGCCAGTGGGCAGGTGGTGGCCAGTGCCAGCCGCTGCCCCAAGCCCTGGCACCTGGTCGAGCCGCCTCATGGTCCCCGTTTTATGAACACCTGCCCAAGGACACACATGGAGAAGGGGCAGAGCTGGGCTCAAAGCCAGGCGACTGGTTCCCAGGTCCACGGACTTCACCTCTGCTCTCCAGTCGCTGCTGTCAGTGACCTGAGAGTTTTCTTTGAATGACTCACTTGCTCAGCCTCATCCTAAACAATGACATCACCACTTTAAGCTGGAGAGACGTGGAGAGGTCTGTAAGTAGAGGGGTACATAGATATACTTACAAAGCCCAAAACCTGGCATCTGGGTGTCTGTCCATGTTGACAGTTCAAGCCCATCAGCCACTCCACGGGAGAAAGATGAGGCAGTCTGCTTCTGTGAAGACTGACAGCCTTGGAGACCCTGTGGGCAGTTCCCCTCTGTCCTCTAGGGGCGCTGTGGGTCGGAATGGACTCCAGGCAGTGGGTGTCGTTTGGGATTTGCTTCTGTGATGACTGACAGCCTTGGAGACCCCATGGGGCAGTTCCCCTCTGTCCTCTAGGGGTGCTGTGGGTCAGAATCAACTCACAGCAGTGGGTGTGGTTTGCTTCTGTGAAGATTGACAGCCTTAGAGACCCTGTGGGCAGTTCCACTCTGTCCTCTAGGGGCGCTGTGGGTTGGAATGGACTCCATGCAGTGGGTGTGGTTTGGGCTTTGCTTCTGTGAAGACTAACAGCCTTGGAGACCCTGTGGGGCAGTTCAGTCTGTCACATACGGTCTCTTTCAGTCCAAATTGACTGAATGACACATAATAAGAACAGAACAGGTGCCGGTAGATGGAAGACAGAGACGTTAGATAAGATGATGATGCAGATTATTGATAACTAGATTTGTTGGTAAACAGATGGTGCAATGTGTGTTGATAAGTCATATTGAAATGAACACATAATTATTAAAATGAGGACAACCCTGTGGGCCCCTGAAGCCGTCTCTCCCTCCCCTCAGAGCCCTGGGCTCCATCACGGGTGGGGGCCACATCACAGCCTCATCTGCCTCAGTCTCGGGGAGCTCTGTGAGGTCCCGGAATTTCAGCCATTTCACACCTGGGGAAGCTGAGGCACGAAGCAGGGAGAGGGCCGTGGAAGGGCCCACTGCCAGCGACCGTGACCGGAAGCCAGGCCAGGAGATGCCTCCCGGGCACCCTCACTCCCCAGATGTGGCCTGAGGCCCCCAGCTCCTGTCCCCCGCCCCCTACGGGAGGCAGCATGGACAGACGCACGTCTCCCCCCAGGTGGGCTAAGGAGAAACAGGAAGACCCTCCTGCTGCCCCAGCAGGAAGCGGGGGGGGGGGGAGGAAGTTCTGGGGGCCCCAGGATGATTGCCGCAGGAGGAGCAGGGCAGACTCCCACCAGGACAGGGCCTGAGGGGCTTGAACCCAGGGTCACCGCCTGCCATCCATCCCCCGGGTGACGGGGTCTGTCTGTCCTGCTGAGCACAGAAGCAAAGGTGGGGGGTGCAGCACCCAGCCTCCCCTCCCCCACTGCCCTGTGCCCATCCCCATCCCTTCCCAGACCCCTAGTGTCCTGGGGACGACGTGGGGATGGGCTGTGGGTCTCAGGGGCCCCACCTGTGGTGGTTATGATTGCGTGTCAGCTTGGCTGGGCCTGGCTGAGTGGCTGGGCAGCTGGATGTAGTGTTCCCCATGATGAGACTGGCAATCAGCTCCATGGTGGAATCTACTGGGAGCAGCTGAGTAGCTGCCTTAGGGCTGTGGTCTGCTTCCTGTATATAAGCAGAAGCTTTGAGAATGGTCTCTAGCCTATGGCACGCTTGGACCCTGCATGTAGCTGTGTCGTTGCTCAGCAGCCTGCCATGCTCTGCCGACCTTGGGACTTATGATGGACTTAAGTTAATGGCCCGCCGTGTGGTCTGGTAACATCAGGACTGTGCCTTTTTACTTGTTGACTTCGGGCTTCTCAGCCTCAGCAGCCAGCAGCTGTCTGAGTGAAGAAACGCCTCTAGCTCCATTGGGCCGGGAGCAGGAGGCAGAGCTGGACCCCAAGGTTGAGGGGCTTTCACCCAGCCCTTAGAGCCTGGCACTTTGAACTTGGACTTAAGGCCTCTGAACTGTAAGAATAAACTCGTGTTTGTTAAGGCCATCCCATTGGTGGTATATTCCTGTCAGAGCGGCACCAGGGAACCAGAACTCCACCCCAGCCTCCACCCTGTCCCACCCGCACTCACGACCACCAAGCTTCTGCTCTGACTTTATTGACGGTGGAAGGAGCCAAGTGGGGCCCACAGAGCCACAAGCCCCTTCCCCACCCTGCTCCCCTGGGGGGAGGGGGGCTCCAGGGCCCGGGACTGGAATGGGCTCAGCTCAGCCCCTGGATCGGACCGCTAGCTCGTCTCACTCAGCACCGTCCCTGTGGGCACACAGGTCACCGCTGAGCCCTGCCCCACTGCTGGGTGCAGACTCAGGGCTGGAGGGCGGGCGGTGGACCCCTCCTAGCCAGGGGTGTGGGGGGCAGGCTGGGCGAGCAGAGGGCGGGGCCTGACCGCGAGGCTCGGCCCGTGGGCAGCGTGGGGCTGCGGGCACGCTGTAGGAGCCTCACCCCCAGCTCGGGTGCCTCTTGGCCAGCTCCACCTGGGCTAGACGACTGTTACTCAGCACCTGGACCCGGGTGACGGCCGCCAGGGGCCTATGGCGGTGCGTGAACTGCAGCACCTTGAGCGTCTGGGCGTGGACGTGGAAGTGTGTCGCGTCCGCGTGGATCTCCAGCTGGGGGCGCGGGCGGTGTGACTCTAGGAGGCCCCACTTTGGGCATCCCTGGCGCACGGCGTGGTGCGGGCCCAGCGCCGATGAGAGCAGCGAGCCTCTCCATCTGGTCTGCCTTGTCTCTCCAAAGAGGGGGCGGCTGGCAGCCAGGGCAGGGGCTCCCGCAGCTCAAATGGGGAGGCTGAGGACGCTGTGGGAAGACCTTCCCCTCCCCCACCCCACCCCAGCTCCTGCTGGACCCCAGCCACCCATGGCCCCCTCCCCGAAGTGCATAGGAGGGTGGAGCAGTGCTTGCAGGAGCCCTGGAGCTGGGCCTCCCCTTGCACGGGCCTCAAGCACCGCACTGCCCCGATCCTCAGCCCCCGGGTCTCCCCTCTCACTCCCACAGTGTTGCCCCGTAGGCCTCCCACCCGCACGGGCCTCCTCACCTCTGCACTCCCTCCCTCCCCATCACCTCAAAGGGCTCCCCCAGCGCCAGAGGGAAGACGCTGGACACCTCCTCCGGGCCCCAGCGGCCACCCTGGAAGGCATTGGCCACCACGGTGGAGCTGGAGAAGCGGGGCTTCAGGTGGAAGGCAATGTCCCCAGACTCGGACAGGAAGTTGATCTCAAACCTGGGGGGAGGGCATTGTGGGCAGTGAAGGCAGCCCCTGGCTGAGCCGCCCTGAGCCCTGGGCCCAGTCACCCCGCAAGGCCCCGGAGTGAGCCTGGGGGCCGTGTTCCTTACTTGTCTTCTGTGGAGTTGGATTGTCCCTGGACCAGCAGGCTCCAGCCAGGGGCCAGGCCCCCCGAGCAGAAGGCTTCAAACTGCAGGAGAGGAGAGGAGGGGGAGCCTGGGGTGCACCCCTCAGCCCAGAGAGGTGGCCGCAGCCCCGGGGGAGGTCTCTGGTGGTTCCTCCAGAGACATTTCCCTGCCTCCAAGGGCCGACACTGGCCCCCTCCTCTGGCCCTCTCAGCCTGGGGTCTGAAAAAAAGCTGGGCCCAGCCCCCCAGGGCCATGGAGAGGGGTTCCCTTCCCCACACAGGCCCAAGTGTGCAGTCCCACCCAGGGCCGGGGGCTCACCCACCTGCAGTGCCATCGCTCCAGCTACTGCCCGAAAAGGCGGAGAGAGCCCGGGTTATAGGCAGAGGGGGCTGGGGGTGGGCTGCCCTGGGGCGCTGCAGGAGCCCCGCCTCCAGGCGGGGTGGCTTGACAGGGTCACTGACCCACCCCCCACTCCGCTCCACTCTCCAGACTCTTCCGGGCGGCTGGTCCTCCATTCAAGCACCAGGAACAGGTCACCCACCCAGGCCCCCTGCCCGGCTTCAGCCCTTGGGACCCTTCAGGCAGTGGGGCAGCCTCTCCCCGCGCCTGCAGGAAGCACAGGACAGGACAGGGGCCGGCGGTCCAGGCTCTTCTAGGGCCCTAAGCTCAGTTCCCAGGGGCCCAAGCCCAAGTGAGGGGGGGAGGGAAGCGTGCCCAGCAACCCTGCCCTGGCCTTCTGGGGTCCGTGCTGACGGCCTGGTGCCACAGGACCCCCCAGAGCCACCAGCCTGTCCCCTCTCCCCCCACCCCCACCCTGCTGCCCCCTCCAGCAGTTCCGCTGGCCCATGGGGCACAGAGTTGGGATTAGCCCTGGCGCTGTGGTCAGCACATTCCAGGCTGGGGCAGGAGGTGTCCGAGGGCCTTTCCCACAACAGAGGCCCCCACCCACACCCCCCACCGTCTGGGCAAGGGGGAGGGGCGGCCACGCTGGGGCCCTGGGGGCAGCGAGGTGGGGAGGGCCAGGCTTTCAGCAGCCCTGACTCCAGGGAGCTGGCCAGAGAGGAAAGGTGGAAGGCACAGAGCAGTGTGCAGGGAGCGTGTGGGGAGCGTGGTAAGTGTGTGGGGAGTGTGCTAAATGTGTAGTGTTGTGCAGGGAGTGTGCGTGAGTGTGGTGAGTGTGGTGAGTGCAGGGAGCGTGCGTGCATGTGGTGAGTGTGCAGTGAGTGTGGTGAGCACGCAGTAGGCATGCAGTGAGTGTGGTGAGCACGCAGTGGGCATGCAGTGAGTGTGTGGTGGATGCAGTGAGCGTGTGGTGAGTGTGGTGAGCATGCAGTGGGCACGCAGTGAGCGTGTGGTGGATGCAGTGAG